TAAGGACGCTGGTCACGAGGGACTGACTGTCGTGAGGCAGTCTCCTCACCGCAAGCATCAGGGAGAGAAGAGGAGAATAAACAAGATATATTTGTGTATAATAGTTTAATTGTGTGTTATAATTTAATATTAAATACATAAACACAATAGATACGCTATTTATTCAATATTACCCAGACCTTGTTGCAAATCAATGATGCAACGTCTAGATCGTGCTGCATGCATTGCTCTGTTTGGGGCTGGCTTGCGTGTTGCTGTTGCAGAGACACTGAAGGGGGGGGCAGGTGCGAGTTCTGCTGCAGCTTATGCTGCTCTTCTTCTCCTGATTGAGAAACATAGAAACAAAGACAAGAACAACTTGTTTTATTATTGCTATTTCCCGTGTTTCCGGTCTCCGCTGTTGTTGCTGCTTTTTGCGCTGTCTCTTTACGTCGCGTGCGTGGGCCATCTGTGTTCCTTGTGTTTTGTAGGGGTTTGTTGTGGGTTTTTCGTTGCTGTTGTTCTTTGCTTTTTGTTGTTTGTTGTTTGTCTTTGTTTGTTTCTTTTTGTTCTTGCCTGTTGGTGCATTGTTGCGGCTGCTGCTGCTGTTGTTTGTAGTGCTGAGGCACCGCGACGACGCTCAAGTGGCGGTGCAGTTCACTCTCAAGAGAACGACCACAATACTTATAGAAACAAGTTGTATTGCTAAAAGATAAAAAGTTAAGATAACCAAGCCACGAATGCTCGGCAGCCACCCAAGGTTGATGGCTGGCTGTGGGGCTGATACTGCGGCTGAGACAGTGACTCACTGCAGAGTCAAGGATCAGATTTATAGATAAGCTGTGTTTAGCGTATAAATGTAGAGTTTGCGCCCAGTTAGGTTGACCAAGGATGCATACGTAGTAACAACAGAACCCGCTGTTCACTTCAGTCGCTGTTTCCTGTTGCTGTTTGCTGTTGTTTGTTGTTGCTCGTTGTTCCTATTGCCGCTGCTGCTGAGGCTGTTCTTGTTTTTTTAGTCATTTGTAGTATGGTTTGTGAAACATACCCTGCTTGCAGTTAGCGTAGGAACATTTACTTGGCCTTGGTCGGTTGCCTGCAGCCAAATACAAGCGCCCCATAAGTGTCTACAGATATAAAGTATGCAGTAGAAGAAGTTTCATTGAAGCTTCCTTGTGCTCGCATGTGAGGCTATCGCCAGCTGCAACGAGGTGCACTACAACCCTTGCTCGGCACCGCCTCCCCCCCGACCGCAGCCCCTGAGCTGAACGCTCAGGAAGCCTGGAGAGAGAGAGAGGGTAGGGAGTCAGCGGCTTTTGGAAAACTCTTATCTCAAGTTTTTGGCTTCATTGCAACTTTCTTCTGTCCTTGAAAAATGCTGGAAAGCATGCAGTAGATGAAAGTTCTGCATGGTTCGACGGGCAGATGCGAGCAACTCCACCCAGCAGGTGGCCTCGTGCACAGTTGAGAAAAAAGGTTAGAAGGGAAACAACAACCTGCTTTTCTTTTCCTCAAGTAAAATATCTCTCAAATTTCATCCGTTTCCTTCATGTCCCGTGAAGATTGATATGGATTTACCCGCAGGCGGTATGCGGGAACGCACGGTCTGCAGTCTCGCTGAGCAGAAGCAACCACAATTTCTACGCAGATCCAGGACAAAGTGCAGTTTCCTCAAAAACTGACTCAGGAAGAATGCCTCCGACTGTGCCAGCCATCGCAATATGATGGATGCCGAGACACCGGAGCAGTGGAGAAGTCCTTGGGTTTCCTCGACTTGCACGTGCGTTTTCAGAATGCAAGGGAGGAAATATAACTGCTACTGGCATCTTCTCTCTTAGAAAGGGATGCTAGATGATGGTGAGTACAGCTAGGCAACGGCTCCGCTTTCCCAGTGCACACCAGATCGATACAACTCTTCCGGAAAGCTCTACGATGCAGGTTCATTGCGAGCTCGGCAGCGGCAAAGGCAACAGCAAAATTACGAAGACCTAAGCAGGGGCAAATGAGAATAGAATATTACAGTATGCGGTATAAGTTATTAGTATTAATTGCAGAGATGTTCTCTCTCGAGATGATACAGGCTAGGTGCGTTGCAACTCATGCAGGGTCACTGCCTGTCCTTGGGCGGCCGGCCCCAGGGCGCGTGGATGCTGGATATTTCAGCGGTTTTTTCGGAAACTTCTGCACGAAGTGTTTCGATTCTACCGCAGCTCTGTAGTATCCTCAGCTAAGAACGAGGAATACAGACTACAGAGGCCCTTGGGCCGGCGGCCCCATGCTGGCTGGGGGGTGGAATGGAGAGGAGGCAGGCTGCGTTCTGGGAGAAATTACTTGAAATATGTTGACTCTGTTGCATCTCGTGAAGGTATCGAACAAAAACGAGGAACCTTGTTGCACTCGGTGCTATGGAGTGAGTTCAATACTACCGGGCTAAGGGGTAAGAAACCAGCCGCTTAATTTAATAATTTAATTTAAGGATTCTGTGCAGTAGCCGCGGTTTATAAACAGAAAAACAAACAGAAAACGGAGAACAAACAGATAAACAACAGGCAAACATATAAAGAATGCACGTGAAGACATACAGAAGAGGCAGATTAGGGGGTTGGTGCTGAGGCGGGTGGTGGGGTTGTTTCCTTTCGGCAGCAAGCTGCAGCGGAGGTTTTGTATGAAATTTTTTGTTATTTTCTCCATAAAAAGGCAAATTAAATTAAAATTACTCAATTTGTTGAATTTACACACAAAAAATAACACAAACAAAACCATAAGCCGCCAGCTTGAGCCTTGAAAAACGACAGACAGGCAAACAGACAGACAGGGGCTTACAGAGAGCAGGGCTTTGCTGCTGCTGCTGCTGCTGCTGCTGCTGCTGCTGGCTGTAGCCTCAAATGTGAGGCAGAAGAAATTTAAATTTGTCGATTGTTTTTGTGTTTGTCACTTTGAATACAACTGCAGCACACACTCCCACAATACCCGCGTTGCAGCAGCAGCACCAGCAGCAGCAGCGGCAGTAGCAGCGGGAGCAGCAGCGGGAGCTTTGTGCATGCAACTTCACGAACGAATTCAGGTGTATGCACACCTGATGCGTAGCGTCCTCTCACCATCCACAGCGTTTGAACAACGTCTGCATCAGCAGCGGCAGTAAACCGAAGGCAACCGACGCAGCGACAGCAACAGTAGCAGCAGCAGCAGCAGCAGCAGCAACAGCAAGAAGCAACAGCAACAACAGCGGCAGCAGCAGCACCATCACATCGTCGGCAGCAGCGGGAGCAGCAGAGAGATGAGGCTGAAATCAGAGGAAGAGAAGGAGAATGCGAGCTGCAGCTGGATCCGCAGCAGCAACAGCAACAGCAGCAGCAGCAGCAGCAGCAGCAACAGCAAGGATCTTGAAAGCCCCAAGCAAGCGGCAACGACGTCTGCCGCTGCAGCAAGCCTTATCACGTGCGAAAGTAGCCAAGTGACAGCGGAAGCAGCAACAGCAGCAGCAGCAGCAGCAACAGCAGCAGCAGCAACAGCAACGGAAATTGCAGCAGCAGGATCAGCAGGAGGCAGCAGCCGCAGCAAGCGTGTCCGCTGCATGCGATCCGCAGCAGAAGCAACAGCAGCAGCACCTGCTGTTGTGGATACACCTCAGAAGGTTAGACATCTAAGCAGCAGCAGCACAAGCAGCCTTGACGCCTGCAGCAGCAGCAGCAGGAGGAGACGTAAGTGCACCCGCAGCAGCAGCAGCATCACAAGCAACACCCAGGTGCGGCAGACGAGGCGCGCAGCAGCAGCAGCGACAGCAGCAGCAGCGGCTCCCCAAGCAGCAGCGCCGTCACCAGCACCAACGACACCTGCGTCAGAGGCAGCAGCACCAGCAGCGGAGGCATCACCAGCTGCAGCAGCAGCAGCAGCAGCAGCAGCAGCAGCAGAACTTGCTCCTTCATGCGAAGATGTTTCAGCTGCTTCACAGCCACTGGGTGAATCCGAAGAGCCAGAAGAAGCACAACCCGCGGACTCACCCAGCAGTAGCAGCAACAGCAGCAGCAACAGCAGCAGCAACAGCAGCAGCAACAGCAGCAGCAACGACAACGGCAGAAGCAACAGCGACCAACCAGAGGAAGAAGTATCATGCAGCAACAGCAGCAGCAGCAGCAGGGAAGACGTCAGCATCGCCGCTGCAGCAGCATGTGATAGCGGCGCTGACGCAGCAGAAGCAAGCAGCAGCAGCAACGACAACAGCAGCAGCAGCACCAGTAGCAGCAGCCACGAATGCAGCAGCACCAGCAGCAACACCAGCAGCAGCAGCAGCAGCAGCCATGAGTGCAGCAGCAGCAGCACACGCACCACCTGTGCATCCTCACAGCCTTGTGATATCTGCCCTTCTTGCTTCCCCCCATTCGACTTCTCTCCGCCTCTGCTGCTGAAGCAGCAGGAGCGTTGCAGCAGGCGCAGCAGCAGCCACCAGCACCAGAACAGCAGCAGCAGCAGCAGAAGCAGCAGCAGTAGCAGCAGCAGCAGCACTAGCAACGGCCAGCAGCAGGAGTTGCAGCAGCAGCCTTTGTCTCCATATCCATCTCCTTTGTTTCAGCGGCCCCGGCCTAGCTACAACTGCAGCGGGCGCAGCAGCAGCAGCAGCTTGTTTGCTGCTGGTTTTTCTCCTGCTGCACCTCAGCTGCCTCCTATTGACCTTTGGCTTTCTCTCTCTCCTCGGGGCCCTTCGCTAGACCGCAGCAGCAGCCAGCTGTCTTGCTGCAGCAGCTTATCTCTAGCAGTAGCGCGCCCCGTCTACCCCCATCAGCAGCAGCAACAGCAGCAGCAGCAGCAGCAGCAGCACCAAGCGCAGCAGCAACACACGCAGCAGCAGCAGCACATTCAGCAGCAGCAAATGCAGCAGCAGCACAGAGCCAGTGAGGCACCCACGCAGGGCTGCTGCTGCGCGGACAGGGAACCCTCAGGCAGCAGCCACAGGCGCAAGCTGCTGCCTTGCAGCAGCAGTCTGCAGCACCAGCAGCAGCAGCAACAGCAGCAACTTCCGCAGT